AACACCCAAGGAGAGATATCAAAGAGCAGGCTGAAATTTACATTTTCTCTGAAATGTTCATGGACAAAGAGAGGATGAATGGGATTTTCTAATAAACGACATAGGAGAATAGATAAAGCAAGGTTAACCATAAGATGATCACTGCTGAAGCTGATTTAAAAATCCACGGCAGTTAATTCTACCATTCTAATTACTTTTATACATGTCTGCATCTTTCCAAAATTAAAATACATTTTTTTAAAAAGTTAGAATGACACAGTATCCTGTGTTGTTGTTAAGTGCTGAGAAGTCAGTTCCAACTCATAGCGACCCTGTATAGGGTTTCCAGGAGGGACTGGTGATCTTGAAGTTCAAATTGACCTTGACGTCGAGTGCTTTTTCTATGACGCCACACCATGACTCCTGTATGTAGAATACTAGCTATAATATATAACTTGAATCTAATCATGTGGAAACAACAAACAAATCCAACTAGAGGGATATTCTATAAAACAGTTGTCCACGTGCTCTCAAAACTTAAAAGTCATAAAAGACAAAGAATGAATGAGGAACTATCCTAGAATAAATGACACTAAAGAGAAATAATAGCAAAATGCTAAGGTGATCCTGGCTTGGATGCTTAATCAAGGGAAAAAAAAATTTTTTTTAAAGGAAAGAAAAAAACTGCTATAAAGGACATTATTGGGACAACTGGTAAAATTTGAATGGGGATTAAAATATTAAATAATAGTATGCATCCTCATTGTTCTCCTGTGAAAAAGCTGGGGGGTTAAACTGTCGATCTTCCCATTAGCGGCCTGACACTTAACCCACTGCACCACTGTTGTTGTTGTTGTTAAGTGCCACTGAGTCAGTTCCGACCCATGGCGGCCCTGTATCGGGTTTCTGAGGAGCAGCTGGTAAGCTTGAACCATGACCTTGAGGTTCAAACCAACTTTGCAGTCCAGCTCATTAACCCACAGCGCCACACCAGGGGTCTACTGTATCACTAGGGTTCCTTTAGATAATTACACTATGGTTATATAAGAGTATGTCCTTGTTCTTAAAAGCTATATACTTAAATATTTAGGGTGAAGAATCATCATGTATGAAACTGAGTCTCAAAAGACTCAGTAATAATAATTATTACATACATTTATCTATGGAGAGAGAAAGCTAGCATGCACATGCAAATGTAACAAAATGGTAACGGGTGAACCTAGGTGAAGGATATCTAGGTGTTTATTGTGTTATTCTAATTCTTGAATTTTTCTGTAGGCTTGGCAGTTTTCTAGAATAAAAAACTTGAAGCATCAGCATAATTAACCTGATCTAATCATGATCCCCCAAATAGACCCTGCACAGTCTTTTCCCTTTCACTGTTTGAAAAGAAAGTTATCCTCTTTGCTCCTCAGTGAAGAATACCAAATCTGCTTGATTTTTAGAAACATGTCTCTTGTAAGTATCACTTTCATACGCAGTATGGCATTGACTCATCACAGTGCCCCTGAGGGCATTTCCCAGCTGCAGCCCTCAGCTGTCAGCCCCTCTGGGGAGTCCCTTGGTGGAAGAGAGCATCTTGCCTCCTTCCCAGAGTGGCTCACATTTAAAGACTGATGGACTTGGCGTTGTAAAGGCCTGGTCCTCACCCGCCCTCAGACAGTTCTGAAGGGTCATTCCAGTTCTAGAGCTCCCTTCAGGGTAAGCTGCATCTCAGTTTGACTTCTTCCTCCTTTCTATGAACACTGGCCTCAAGAAGACCCCTCACAAACCTCTTGCATATCAACCCACATTTCCAAGTCAGCTTCCTAGGACTGAGCTGTGGCATTTGACCATTCTGCAGATGAGGAAACAGAAATTTAAAATATCACTTGCCTAAGATCAGAAAGCCTTTAAGTGGTGAAGACAAGACTCAGATTCCAAATTTGCCGATCTCCAGCTTTTTCTCCTCTCTCTTCACTTCCTCCAATCCTACCCCTCTGTTCAGGCCATCATGGCCAAGTGCATGCTTCTCTCAGAGCACTCCCCACTTCCCTTTCTGTACTCAGAGCTCTTACCATCTGCTCCATTTGGCAATTAGCCATGATCCCATGTGGGTACTTCTAACCATCATCTCCTATTACAAAAGCGATGTGCTGTCATTTCAGAGTCACTGGGAGGCACACACAGTTTGAGCTTGACTGCAAACCTAGAGGCTTTGCTGCTTGAACCCCCCCAGCAATACTATGCAAGGCAATCCTGACAACATGCTCTTCTGAAGATGGTTGTTGTTGTTAGGTGCCATCAAATTGGTTCCGATTCATATCAATCCCATTTAGGATAGAACAAAACACGACCCAGCCCTGCACTACCTTCACAATCTTTTCTATGTCTCAGTCCACTGTTGTAGCCACTGTGTGTCCATCTAACACTTTGAGGGTTTTTCCCTTTTTAGCTGACCCTCTACCTTTCTAAGCAAGATGTGCTCCAGAACCTGTCCCCCGATAATATGTCCAAAGTATGTGAGCATATCTTGCCATCCTCGCTTCTGAAGACTATTCAGGCTGTGTTTCTTCCAATACAAATTTGTCCGTTCTTCTGGCAGATCATGGTACATCCAATACATAAATGACAAGATTACAGCCAAGAGAATTCTATGGAACACTTTTACTCGTCACGAATCAGAATCAACTAAACGGCTGTGGGCTGTTTTTTCTTAGTTGTGTGTGTGTGTGTGTGTGTGTGTGTGTGTATGTTCTCAATGGTGTCCTGGTGTGGTGCTGTGGGTTAATGCACCAGACTGAAAGCTGTCTGAACTACAAGATTGGCAGTTCAAGGTCACCAGGGACTCCTCAGAAACCCTATACAGGGTCACTATGGGTCAGAACCAACTCGATGGCACTTAACAACAGCAACAAATGTTAACAATAACTTACCACACAAGCTTGGTACTCTTTCTACCTTGAAAACTCCCTGGGACAAATGTCACTGTTCTTGTCTCAGTTTAGCTGTCTACATGCTAAACACAGTCCACACAACCATACAGTGATAGAATGACAAGACTCCCTCTCCTCTGAATGTGTTAAGTCTTAGAAACTGAGGCAACACAACATGTACAAATGATACAAAGCCCTGAAGCCTTCATTTTTGTCTTTCTGGAAAAGTACAGGATTCCCTGCCATGAAATTTAAGGGCATGGCAGGTTACTTTGCGAGAGAGATACAGCACCATCCCCAGGGGAAAGCAGCCCAAACTTCATAAGTCCACCAGAAAAAGGGGAGCCAGAAAATACTTGGTTAGCTTCAGCCAACCAATGCTGAAGAAAACAACATGCCAGGAACAAAATCATTACAATCAATCTAGGTCATTTATTACGCAAAATGACGAGATGCATTGACACAGTGGTGGTAGCAATGGGCTCAAATACAGCAATGATGGTGAGGGAGATGAAGGACCAGCGGGCTTCATTCAAGAATACTCTTGAATGAACTGATTTGATAGCACATAACAAGAAGTTTAATTTTCATTATTTAAAACATTTTATAATATGCTAGACTTGGGATATTGTACTAGGCAAAAGTAATGAAGTCTTAGATAAGAAAGTCTGGTATTAACACATGCTTAAATTTTAAGGAAGGAGTAAGTGAGCTACATTTCTTCTCTTTGAAGACTGCTTGACTGGGAGATTAACACCACTTTCTCCATAATTCTCTCCTAGGAAGGAGAGGTAGAGGTAGGCAGAAAAGGGTCAATTTAGTCCAAACACTCTCCCACTCTCAGTTCCTGGGAATCCATTGTTGCCATGGTAACTCTGTTAACTATGTGACCACTCTGGTAAGGACAGGCCTTAAAAACAATAAGCATCTAAACATATTACCAGCTTTTAAGCTTTGAAATGATTTTTCAGCCTTTTTCAATCTTATGCTTTCAACCATTAGCCTGAATGATGACACACAGTCTTATAAGAATAATATAAATGCAAATTGACTGAAATACTAATGCTTGCCAAACTTCCCTAACTACCCAGTCAACACCAACATAGGAGGTGGACTTTAGAGAGGAGTTTCTGAATTTAAGCATTTATAGCAGGGGCGGCAAACGATATAGCCATGGGCCAAATCTGTCATCTGTTTTTGTACATCCTGCTAGCTAAGAATGGCTTTTATATTTTTAAATGATTGTGGGGGGGCAGAATCAAAAGAAGAGAATTTTGAAATATCTGAAAATTATATGAAATTCAAGATTCAATGTCCAAAAATGTTTTACTGGAGCACAGCCATATGGTCATGAATTTACGTAAGTGACCTTTGTTGTTGTTGTTAAGTGCCATTGAGTCAGTTCCGACTCATAGTGACCCTGTATAGGGTTTCTGAGGAGTGACTGGTGGGCTTGAACCACCGACCTTACAGTTCATACGGCTTTGCAGTCCAGTGCATTAACCCACAGCGCCACACCAGGACTCCTAGGAGCACTTTACTTATTGCTGACACATTGTCTATAGCTCCTTTTGTGTTAGAAATAACAACAGAGATGAGTAGTTCCAATGGAAACCCTATGGCCCACAAAACCTACAATATTTATTATCTCACCATTTACAGGGGTCCCTAGGTAGGTCAAACAGTTAAGTGCTCAACTACTAATCCATGCAGAGATACCTCAGAAGGAAAGCCTGGTGATCTGCTTCCAAAATTTCACACAGCCTTGAATACCCTAAGGAGCCGTTCTTCTCTACATACATGGGGACACTGTGAGTTGCAAATGACCCCACAGCAACTGGTAGCCTTTTACAGAGACCATCTGCCAACCCCTGATCCAGAAACACGGGATTGTATGAGAAAGGTTGGACTAGGAAGCTGGTATCTCTTCCTTGCCAAGAAATCTGAAAGAGGCCCCATCCACGCAGATTCGCCCCTTTTCACTGAGGTATCTGGGAAAGCGTAACTGTCATTTCTGTGGAGGGTGAGTGCTCCGGCATCCCATGCCTCTCTGTCACTGTGTTCTCACACTGCCCTCTCCTAGGGCTCAGGGAACATGCTACTTACTCCCTCATGCGCTTCATCTTGGTCCCGGCCATCGCACTGTTGAAACTTGTGAGTCCTTGGGGCATGTCTGGAACCGTGCTGGTGATGGTCCTGGTGCCTAAAAATCAACGCACAGCTCTTAACGATGATTGGGGTACTCGTGCAACTTCGAGGCAGTACTCAAGGGCAATCAGAGAACAGAAATTAATCCACCTTTGCAACAAGGTTACGCTACATTAATTAGAGATGAATTCAATTATGTCACGCATGTTAAGGCGAACTAGTCCAAATGACAAGATTATTTACAGTTTTAATATGCACAAGCAATTCCAGGAGCAAATCTCTTTCAAGAAGCACTGTTTAAACAAAACCGTATTATTTAAACCATGGGGATTTATACAAGAAAACCCTGGAAATGGTGCCTATAGAAAAGTTAAGATTCTTAGCGAACCTTCAGCCAATCTCTTTCATCAGGTGTGGGTTGATACTTAATTTACTCAAGAACAACTTTCTTTAATAAACTTGATTTTACCTTACTTTAACTCCACACCTGGGCATTAGCTTTTTTTTTTTTTTTTTTTGCAGTGGAAAGCAGGATGTCGGTTAGGGAGTAATCTGTTGCCTTAAACTCCAGTAAAACGGAGCAGAAGGCCAGAGTTGGGTTCAGAAAGTAAAGAGTTGTTAATGAAAGCTGAGCAGCTATGAAATCTGCTGAGAGAGTACAGTTTTTACTTATACACCTCCTGTTGTTGTTGTTGTTGTTAAATGCTATTGAATTGGATCCGACCCATAGAGAACCTATATACAGAGTTTCCGAGGAGCGACTCGTGAGCTTGAACCAACAACCTTGCAGTTCAAATGACTTTGTAGTCTGGTGCATTAACCCACAGTGCCACACCAGGACTCCTGTTGTTGTTGTTGTTATGTGCCGTGGAGTCGGTTCCGACTCCTAGCGACCCTGTACAGGGTTTCTGAGGCTGTAAATCTTATGGGAGCAGAACGTCTCATCTTTCTCCTGTGGAACAGTTGGTAGTTTCAAACTGCTGACCTTGCGGTTCGCAGCCCGATTCGTAACCACTATGCTACTAGAGCTCTTTACCAGGACTCCTGGAGGCCCTTAAAAAGCCTCTGTTGAAACTGAAGGGAAAGAGTCTCTGTTCCTGTTAAGAAGCTAGAACTGGCCCAACAGTGAGGTCTTGGGTAATCCGCAGAGCTGATTTGCACGTGGACCAGGTGCTGCCACTTCCCCCTTGAGCTGTGAGTAACTCACTGCTGGCAGTAGAGGCCTCCTGGGCATTCCCAGACACCTCACACAGGTGTTGCAGGCCCCACTGATAAAAACCTTTCTAGGCACTCCTAGGCCCGGGCAGCGTAGTGGATTATGAACTAGGCTGCTAATCGCAAGGTCACCAGTTTTACTCTTCCAGCTGTGCTGCATAATAAAGATAAGGCATTCTGCTCTTGTGAAGACTTACAGCCTCAGAAAACCCTATAGAGGGTCTCTATGGGTTGGAATGGACTCCACTGCACACAACCAGCACCAACTAAGGCACCTTTGTTGTTGTTGTTGTTTAGTGCCGTCGAGTCGGTTCCGACCCATAGCGACCCTGTATAGGGTTACTGAGGGTGTAAATCTTTACGGGAGTAGAAAGCCTCATCTTTCTCCCGCGGAGCAGCTGGTAGTTTTGAACCGCTGACCTTAAGGTTCGCAGCCCGATTCGTAACCACTATGCTACCAGAGCTCCCTAAGGCACCTTTAGTATTACTCATTTATGAGTAGTAGCTGCTATTTCAGGAGTCTCTGGATGGTCTCCTGGTGTGGCACTGTAAGAAAAGCAGTGGACTGCTCCTCAGAAACACTGTACAGGGTCACTACGAGTCGGAACGGACTCGATGGCACTTGACAACAACAACTGGATTGCGTGAAGAGGAACATTATGGAAGTTTGGAGGTTGGGTGAAAGAGGAGCCTGGTGATCTACTTCCAAAAACATCAGCCATTGAAAGGCCTATGGAGCACAGTTCCTCTCTGACACACATGGGGTTAGGAGCACTTGATGGCACTTGATGGTAGTAGCTATTACAGAGAAGGGAGCCACACTGTAAAGTTACCACTTTTCTTCCAACAGATGTCTGATGTAAGGGTCACAGGAGGGAGTGAGGAGTAAACCACACAGTACACATCAACCAAATTATTTTCCTTAAAGTCTTACATTTAGAAAATGAGATGCAAATCCCAATATTGCTCACAGCCATACTTTTTTTTTTCATACCTTCTGGGGGCACACATTTTACTTTAATCTCCTTGTTTTTACAGGTCTACCACTTAACCCTTACCACCTCAGAGCTTTCCTCAGGCCAGAGCCCCCAACATGGTAAGACTGGATTAGTAGGCAGGAACTTTTTAAAGGGCACAGTACAGTTAAACAAACAACCCATCCTTCCCAGCACAGCACATGTTGTGCACCCTTGTTAAAAAGACATGCAGTCAAAGTGCATGCTTTCTCTCACTCTTGGAAACTGGCCACTTCATTCCCTAGAACTCTCCTCACTGATGCGGAGCAGCTCCTACCTTCCCTTCTGTTCTGCCCAGAAGGCTTGTGCAGGGAGGTAGAGGAGATACAACAGTTCATTTCATATCTGGTTTCTTCCTCCCCACCCCGCCCGTTTCCTCTTATCGTTGTAAAGAATATCGATAACTCGACAGTTACCCATTCTGTAGCTGCCGTTTGCATAACTCAATGAAAACCAGTTACATCCATCATGTTGTGCAACCACACATGTTGGTTGCTTTCACGGTCACCTTACCTAGGACCTGGCGAGTTACTGAAGCAACATCAGCCACGCTATGCCAAGCAACCCACATTGTGTGCTGAAAACTCAGTTCTGCCAGGAAGGAGAGGAAGGCGCCACTTTTCTCTCGCTTCCGGAGAGCTGGCAAATCCTGAAGGTTTATGCAAATAAAGGTCAAAACAATTTCCGCAAAGGCAGCAGCAGCTTATTTTAATCTAGCCACTCTTCCCCTCAGTGAGGCTCTCTGCTGCTGGGAAAGATGCTAAGCCTAGAGCCCAAGGGTAGACAACAGGGCAAGTCTAATTTCAAGCAACAGGGAGGGCAAAGCTTGGTGTTCAGAGCAATTCCCTTTTCAGCGTTTATTACTGGCCAGATCTTTTTTCCTGTCCACCCCACTTTCCAGCATGAATAGGTTGTTGTTTTATGTCAAAGGACAGGAAAACAGGTTTAGCAGTCATGCAGAAACAATTGGGTCTAGAATCACAGGCTTCATCCAATAGCTCCAGAGTATATTCTAGACCACTGCTTCTCAAGCTTCAGTGTGATGTGAATCATCTGGGGAACTTATTAAAATGTGGATCCTGATTTCGTAGGTCAGGGCTGGGTCTGGGATTCTGGATTTCTAATCAGCTACCATGAGACGGGGATGTTGCTGGTCCCTAGACGACACTTTGAATTCTGAGACTCTAAATGCTCTAGAAAAGGTCAACAATGGAATGAAAACGCAGGGCCCCAAGTTTAAAAAGAAAAAGGCTTCGTTTCTTCTGCTGTTTCAATTTGGTCTTGGTGTTTTTACTGAATACTTAATGTTGCTCCCTCTCAGGCACATAGGTACTCAAGGTGGGTGCAGACTCTCCTGATCTCAACGTTACCTTATCTGGGTGAAGGCTCCCACTGGTGAAGCAGGTGGCAGTGGTTACGGGGTCAGAGTAGAGAGCAGGAGGACCCTTCTTAGGAAGGTGGTGGGAGATCAGACCACGCCACACCTGAGCCAAGACTACAAGCCCTAGCATATGCTCGCTCAATCTTCTCATCAGACTTCACTTACAAAATGCTAATTCAAAGATCAAATAATTATTTCATTAAACCGCACATTCGTGCCCTTGTGTAACTACACTGATTGCACGTCCGTGATGCCGGCCCTGGCTCTAGAACTCTCTGCTTTCTTAGATGTTTTGTTCAAAAAATGTGAATCCTCAATTCCTAAGTTAATATTGTCAAAGTAATTTTCTCTTTATTAGCTACAACAGAACACTTCATGCAATGGGAAGAGTATATGCATTTGTGATTTCACAGATTTGAGAACCGTATGTCCCTCCTTCCAAGGATCTTATAGCCACAGGCTGGCGGATGCAGGGCGGTGAATCACTTGATATGATTAATCTAGCCACAGTCTTTGTAACTCTCACCAAATGAGTGGGCTGTTGTTCTTAAGTGCCGTCAAGTCGGTTCTGACTCATAGCGATATACTACATGGTTTCCTAGAAGCGGCTCGTTAGTTTAACCCGCCGACCTCACGGTTCAAACTGACCTTGAGATCGAGTGCTTATCCTAAGGTGCCACAAGTGAGGTGCTTGTTAGGTTTGAGCCCATTATTGCTGCCATTGTGTGTAGTGAGGAGGGGTCTTCCTCTTTTTCATTGACCCTCCACTTTACTAAACACATTGTCCTTCTCCAGGGTCCTTCCTGACAACATTACAAAGTACAAGAAACAAACTCTGACCATCACTCCTTCTAAGAAGCTATCTGGTCATACTTCTCCTTCTGGCATCCCATGGTACTTTTAATAATCTTCACCAACATAGGACCAACACCATAATTCAAATTCATCGATTCTTCTCGTCTTCCTTATTTACTGTCCCTTGTTCACAGGCATATGTGGCAATTGGAAATACCATGGCTTGGGTCTGGCACATTTTAGTGCTCAAAGTGACATCTTTGCTCTTGAACACTTTAGAGAGGTCTTTTTGCAGCAGATTTTTCTAATGTAATCACCATTGTTTGACTTCATGACTGCTACTTCCATAAGCAAGGAGCTCTGGTAATGTAGTGGTTACGAATCGGGCTGTGAACCTTAAGGTCGGCAGTTCGAAACTACCAGCTGTTCTGCGGGAGAAAGATTAGGCTTTCTGCTCCCATAAAGATTTATAGCCTCGGAAACCCTGTACAGGGTCGCTATGAGTCAGAAGTGACTCCACAGCACATAACCACCACCACCACTTCCATAAACATTGATTATGGATTTAAGTAAAATAAAATCAGGGAATTAGATAGCTTGCTAATGATGCAAATAAGGGGCATGACACCCTAGTAGAGGGAACATACC